TCAGAATTAAGGATGATTTATAGTCTGTGAGGAAAGGCTAAGTGAATTGAGATTGTTCTGCCTGGAAAAGAGAAGGCTCTGAGGTGACATAACTGCCCCTTCCAGTACCTAAAGGAAGCCCAGAAGAAAGGTGGAGAGAGAGTGTTAACAAGGGCTTGCAGTGACAGGACAAAGGGGAATGGTTTCAAACTGACAGAGAGCAGGTTTGGATTGGATATCAGGAAGAAATTCTTCCCTGTGAGGGTGGGCAGGCCCTGGCACAGGGTGCCCAGAGAAGCTGTGGCTGCCCCAGCCCTGGAAGTGTTCAAGACTAAGTTGGACAGGGCTTGGAGCAACCTGGGATAGTGGAAGGTGTCCCTGCCCATGGCAGGGGGTGAAAAGGGATGGGCTGTAAGTTCCCTTCCCACACAGATATTCTATAATTAAAATATATGTCTATTCCAGACCATTTACTACACCAAACCATTCGGTTTCCTTGTTCCCATCAAAACACAAAGATGACTTTGTGAATAGGAAAAAACCACAAGGAATTTGATTTAATATGGAACAGAAAATTCAGCAACATTGTGATACAACAAACCCCCTAAAAATCCAGCTGTGGGGAGTTCTCTCTATAAGTTATATGAAGATTGTCCATATTTAGAGCTCTCTGCTAAACACACAGAATGCAGATCCATGTTAGTGGCCATTGACTAACTCTCTGTGTTCCCTTGCAAAGTTTAATTGTAGCTGCTTTTCTTTTATACTCTGTAAAGTTTCACAGTAGATGTTCAAGTACTGTTTTTCTGATCATAGCTGGAAGAAATTGGTCTGTTTGCTCTGAAGCAGCAAAGCTAAGAATAGCTTTAACTTTGCAAAGAACTGCCACTGAAGAAACTGGCAATATTTCTGTTGGAGTGGTTCTCATGGGATGGTATGTAGCCTGATTTCAATACAGCCAAACACTTCATCTTTATTTAACAGGCTTATTAACTTCACTGGGATTACTCACACACCTTAATTTATATTTGCCCTTAAATTCTTTATTGAACTGGGTTATATAAAGCGTCCTAAATAAAAAGTCCACTCATGTTTTTCATTTTCCAAACTGCATGTTAAGAACTGTAGTTTTTCACTATGATTTCTGTAGCCAGCATTTGCCAGACTCCATCATGGGTCAAAAGAATCTTTTCCACACACATGCTGTTCATGCCTCCTTCTGTATTTTCTGACAGCTCACAGAATCTGATGTCCTTTTCACTTCACTGCCTGTCACAGTGAGCTGTTTCCTTTCTTAGTAAAGCCAGCCTTACTAGAAATGTCTGTAAATTCTCTTCTGGTTTGCTGTTCTGTTTCTAGTAAAAAAAAAATTAATTCATGCTGGAGTTTTCACTGCCAGATTTCTCTTCATTCCTCAGCTGAGGATGAGAACCCAAATAGTAATGTCAGTGTTGCTTTCATATGTCAGTCATATGTAGATTTCAAAAGAAAAGGAAAAAAGAAAATTCCCCCTTATATTCTGAGTTTATTTATTCTGTGAAGGAGGCAATGATTGTTCTTTTTAAAGAGCTAGCGATCTTGGCATTCAATTTTTCTTCAGAATTTACTTTCACAGAGAACACACAAGAATGTGTTTGTATCTCAGGTAAGCGTATCCCATATTAATTTTCTTCATGAGTGAAGATCCAGGAGTCCGAACTTTCAGGAGATTACAGACAAACCCATTAACACATTGTCTCAACCCCCTGGCTGTTGTTCATTGTGTTTTAGGTAAAAGTCATCTCTTCCAAGCATGGCTCTGCATAGTGGAATCACTCTTTTATTTGCTTATGTGGATTTTAGCTGGCCACCCCTAGAGGATCTAGCACTGTGGAGTGACATTTGTAAAACCAGACCCCTAAATATTCCCTTCATATTCATATAAACAGCAACTAGCAGTAGTAATGGTCTATGAAATACTAATAAAAGCCTAAAGAATTCATCTGTTCTCTCTTCCTACATTCCTGGGCTCCTCCGCATACAATATAATTAATATTTACCTTAGACATCAGATAAAATACTGGAGCTTTAAGCTGTCAGAGCTGCTAATACCTTCTCATCAGATTGATGGCTTTTGAGATGAAAGATGAACTAGAGATCTTTCCTGCTAGAAAGATAAGTTTGTTCTTAAGAGCACTGCCAGGATAGAAATGAGACTTAATTATGTATGTGACTTCAAAAAGCCCTCGCTATTTTACCAGCAGGATGGCAAGGTCAGAAAATACTCATGAGAAAGATTTTATCACTCTAGATAATACTTTCAGAATTATATTATTTTTCAAGCTTATTGTGAATATTCACAGCATTTTCTAATGCTTACCTACAGTGTGATGTCCCACATTGCCCTTCCATCCAGACATATGATGAGAGAGAAATGTCAAAATACTTCTTATCCAGATTTTTTTAACTGGAGAAAACTTCTGTCCTGTCTATGAAGCTTCCATTTAAGACATGGCTAAGGAACAACAATTTGTACTTTTCTTCCACCATGGATTTCTGCATCCCCATGGATCCCCATTCCCTGTGGGTGGATCTCTGCATCCCCTGTGGATCCCCTGTGGATCTTCAGTGGATCTCCCCTGGTGTCACCACAGCTGCAGAGGAATCTCGGCTCTGGCCCCTGGAGCACCTCGTGCCCCTCCTTCTCCACTGACCCCGGTGTCTCCAGGTTGTTTCTCTCACACATTCTCACCTCCTCCTCTTCTTTATCTGGAATTAAAGCTGCCCCACTGTCTTTGTTTTGATTTTCTTCTCAAATCTGTTATCCCAGAGGCATTACCATCATATCTCTAATTGGCCCAGCCTTTGCCAGTGGTGTGTCCATCTTCAGAACCATCAGAGATTGGCTCTGCTGGACATGAAGGAAGCTTCCAGCAGCTTCTCACAGAAGCCACCTCTGTGCCCTTCACCACAAAAAAACAGGCTGTGCAAAACCAACACATCAACAGACACAGATGAGAAACATTCACATCAGCCTGCAGCAATTTTAAGCTCTGTACTATGAGCACTTGAGAACCAGAACGCACACACAATGATCCCTCTCTATCTCTGTCCCACGGGACGCTCTTCAAAATATGGTTTTTCAAGATTTATTTAGAATATAAGACAATGCTTAGGCAATGTGGATTTGTCTGGCTTCCATTTTTATGTGTTTGTACTAAGTTTGGCTTTGGCATTCCTGTGTGCCACCCAAGTTGTATTTTATTTGGAGGCATTTTCATGTTGCTCTCTACTTCAGAGGACTCAGCAAAGGAATACGTTTTACACTTTGCAACATGGAACTGGAACTGTCACTATAGCATGTATAACTACATTTAGAGATTGAATTGTCTAGGCACAGTTATTTATCTCAAAAACAGGATATGTATTTTCTGGGACAAACATAACCACCTTCTCTTTTGACTCTAATGCCTATGAAAAGCAGCCATAATTACTAGTGAAACACCACAAAAGTGCCAAGTTTGAGCACGTGTTTCTTTCCTTTTTTGTTTATTTATGTATCTATGCATACATTGTTACACTGGCCTGGCTCTTGCTTCAACATAGGCCCAATTTCAGCTGAAAAGCTCAGGTTAGTGTTCAGTGTCTCCCAAAATGAAAAATTCTTGTTTAAAAGACCTTTTGTACACTTCAGGAAGTTACATGGTTTTGCCTTCAGACTCTTACATTCCTACCATAATTTCAGGGAAAGACTGAACAGATACCGAGTCTAAAAACTCATCCATGGCATGAAGAAAAACAAAAGTGATATAATAACCAAAAATTCAATGGAAGCACAAATACCTATATGTCAAGATTCTTGATTTCATGGCTGATGTAAATCCTCATGGCTCCACTCTTTTAATCAAAATTGTGACAATTTGCAACAGAAGACGATTGGCTACTGTTGGGAAAAAAAAGGAGGTGCAGTATCCTATGAATTTCTATATGTAGGGCAGGAAGTTTATTCATGTGTCCTCAACAATACTGTAGTTCATCTCTTAATTTAAAAAATAAGAAAAAAAGAGAAAATGA